AATTTCACACGTAAATCTCATCTCCACACTTTCCAAAGTAGGCAATTCGTTGATGGTTCAGTCAACATCAGAACACATTCATTTGCTTAAGTCTAAGCATTACTGTGATCCCCTGTTGAACATCAAGTAAAGTTCAAAGCATCCCACACTCAAATTAAACAGAAGAAAAAAAACACACAATATCTCTGCTGGGTGTTGGCAAACATAGATAGGCTGGTGCAGAGCCAGGAACAGACTAAGGAGTTGTTTAACTTTAACTGTGCCTACCTCATGGGTTTTGATGGTGTGAGGTTTACTTCCCATTTTCCACACTGGCTTCTATTCTTCAGAAACACTCAAACTATTCTTCAGGCCAATCTGCTGTTTAAAAGTAAGATATGATGCGAGAAGTTGGGGACATAGCCTAGCCACATCCCAGTTTTAAGAAAACTAATTTACTACTGAAAGGACTGTGGTGGACAGAGCCTAATGCGATCCCCAAGTCATACTCTTCTACCACTCTCTTATTTCAAGTGTGGTTGGGTCCTGTATGCTTCTAACCTATAGAATATGGCAAAGGCGATGAAATGTCACCCCTGGGATTATGCTACAATATATGTATTAGGCTCCATTTCACCAGGCTGGAGGGAGAGACTGTCCTATTGGCCTTGAAGAAGCAAGTTCGATATGAGCCGTCCATGGAGAGAAGCATGTGGCCAGGAACTGCTGGTGGTGTCCAGGACCTGAGAACCTCAGACCCACAACCACAAGGAACTGAATTCTCCCAACAACCACAAGAAATCAGAAGACCCCAAACTCCAGGAAGGAATGCAGCCCAGCCAACACCATGATTGTAGCCTTGTGAGACAGGGAGTGGAAGACTCAGATAAATTGTGCCCAGACTCCCAACCCATAGTAACTCGGAGATACAAAGTATGTGTTTCTGAGCTACTAAATTTTTTGTATTTTTTTAATGCAGTAACAGAAAACTAATATAATGACCAACAAAATATTCACATTGGAAAACAGCTGCATGGCCACCAGAAATTAGGGATTGGTGCTACCTATAGACCAGAAATCTATAGGAGCTTATTCTCCAGATATAGTCTAAGTGGTGCAGATCAAAAGAAGACAGTGAAAGCTGCCTTCTTCCTGAGAGCAATGTTTCTAGAAAAGGTAGGAAGAGGAACCAACAGACCCCCAACCCAACACCTCTATATCAGTGAGGATTCATTTGGATGCAAGCAAAGAAACATGACTCAAAGTGGCTTAACAGTTAAAAAAAAATAATAGTGGGAAAGCATAAAAGTAGAGAAACATCTTTCTGGAGTCTGACAAGGACTAATTCAGCTTCTCAGTGATGTCATTAAGCTCAGTTTTGTTTTGTTTTTAACTCCATTCTCCCCACCATGGTGTCAGATACAGCCAAAGACTGGCTCCTCCTCCCCTATTGTCTCAAGATGACTCCTAACAGTTCCCAGTTCTTCCTGTGCATGCTTCCTCTTTCACATCCATCAGGAAAGAGAGCTTTTGTCCTAGTACTCTCAGCAAATTCCTGCGAGTCACATTGACTGGACTGGCTTAGCTCACATGCTCATCTTAATAAGCCAATCCTTATAAGAAGCCAGGGTGTTGGAATGCATATTTGGCTCAGCCAAGGACATGTGTTCCGTCCCACAAGCTGGCCACTATGGAAACACAAAAACTAAATGGAAATCACAACTCTTTGGAAAGTGGGGTGGGTCATGGATCCAAGGAGGCTACTACCAAAGGTCTACTAAACTCACAATTCAAAGGTAAGTTTAGTGCTGTCCTGCAACTTAGAAAGGAGGAGGGCATTGAAAACTCATCAGGAATCCCAGCCCATAGGACCTTCTCATTTCAGCCGATAAACAGCACTAGGGCTTTGGCAGTAGCTGTGTGGGAAGGCCTCAGAGTTTGCTCCTGATGAAAAGTCTCAGCAGAGAACTGGGCCCGACCGAGACCTATCCAGTCCTGCATTTGTTCAGCAGTACAACATGCCAAGCACTCATCATGGCTGCAGCTGTGGCTCCAGACCCTCGTCCGTGCCCCTCAGGCTTCCAAACCAGTGGGCAGGCTCTCTGACTATTAACTGTACTCTTCTTATTTCCTATTTCCAAACAAATTCTATTTGGCATATTCTGTCATAAACTCACACACTATCAGAACCCAGTCCAACACTTTCCTGGCCACAGATCAACACCAAGCAAAGTGAATATATCCCTCTATATGAATGGCAAATAGAATACCACAGAGTTCAGTAAAATAGTCTATAGGTAGAAAAATAAAGCAAAAATTTCTAAAATGCCTCAGTAGAACTGTCTTTCTTTGAAACAGAGTCATTTCAAGAAATAAAAAAAATTAAAAATTGTTGATTCATGAATCTTTTCCTTTAATTTTTAGACCACAAGTGTACAGCTGACTTCATCATATATCTCAGTTCATAACAAACACTAAATAATTTGTATTTCAACATGATTCAAGGACCTAGAGAAAAAAACTCTACAAGCACAATGATAAATAGCTCCCAACATTAGCCTACTTCAGGGCAACTGTAGAGAGAGGCAGACAGTGTGTGAACTGGGCACACCACTTGTCCTGCCCCAAACAAGGAGCCTATCCTCAGATCTAGTCGTTTTATATGAGCATATGAGGGGAGACCCCCTCTAAAAACAGAATTATCTTCTGGAGTGTGGGCCCTTTTTAGTACAGACTTCCCCCACTACATGAGTGTTCTAGGAACCCATCTGTATCAGTGCACCAGCTGGCATTATTGTGAGAGGCTGCACTGGGCATCAGTGAATTTTTTTTGAAGACTCTTTCAACATGTTTGCTGTTTCCTGATGGGCGATTTATAAGTGCACCTGCTCATACCATGTGAGCGTTCAGCAATTTTTGATCGAAAACAACATGACCCCCCCGTACTCCACCCTCCCTATTCACCCGATCTTGGCCCAAGCCACATTTTTTTGTTTTGTTTCCCCAGATGAAAAAAGCCCTCAAAGGGAAATGTTTTGCCGATGTGAAAGAGATGAAACAAAAAGTGGCAGGGGCACTAAAATGCATCAAAATGGATGAATTCAAAAACTGTTAAGCAGTAGAAAAAACATCTTTTCATAGGTGTATTACATCAAATGGAGAGTACTTTGAAGGTAACCAAAGTTTAAACAAGTAATAATAAATGCACAATTTTTTGTATATAAATTCTAGGTTTTGGGGGGTCTCCCTCATAGATATGAAAGTGTGGAAATGGGAATGTAGTGTTGCCAGACCAGTTAATTTTTTTTAAAAAGCTTGAAATCTAAATCTTTCTATAAAACCTCCTAATTTCTAATGTTGGATTAATTTTTTTAAGCTGGAAAGCCAATCACAATTCCACTGTTTGCAGCCAGAGATCTGGATATTCATGATACAAGAACAGGTTGTCGGGTTTCAGACTTTGCATGGCACACATCCCAGATGGCTTTTCCTGAACCGAAACTTCTCCAGGTTGAGTATCCTGGGCAGGAGGTAAAGAGCATGAGGAAAGCTGCCCCTTCTGCAGACTGGAGGGGGACGTTGTGTGCCACACCAGCGATCAGGAACCCCTTGGCTTTCAGTGAGTTTGTCCCAGGATCATGGCAGAGAAGCGACCCTCGTAATTGTCCAGGGTGTCCCTTCCCCATCCACAAGGACTTTCTGTCCCCTTTGTCCTTACAGGTTGCAATATTTTTTTTCCTCATAATTCTTTGTGACATTTTTGTAGACTCTTGATTTTGTTATTTAAGTTACAACCAGAGATTAGAAATTTTTGGATGGAAATCAAGTAACTCATTATCGTTATCCCCCCAGAAGAGACAGTTTTACAATCACAAATGCGTGAGGGGAACTTTTCCCCCAAAACCAAAAGCTAAGATACTTAATTTATGCTTTTTCTTTTCTAAAGTGAAAACATTATTTCTAGACAGCCTTGGCAAGAAAGTGGACTCTTCTGTGCTGGCTCCACACTGCCAAAACAGAGAAACGCCCTTGGTACTCTTTTCAGGTTGGTGAGTGATGGTGGCCACAGTGTGAAGGGAGAAGTCAAGTCATTTTTCAATGTTCTAAGTAAATAATGTTTGAATAAGGCCGATATGAGAGAATTAGACTAATGCAAAAGTTATCACAAGACTGATACCTGTAAGTTAAACCTTTTTTCTATCTGAGACAACAGTTCTCAAATTTTTAATACATATAAGAATCACCTGGAAGGCTTGAAAAACACAGGCTTCTGGCCCCACCCCTGGAGTTCTGGATTCAGGAGGTGAGGAGGGGCCCGAATTGAACTTTAAATCAGACCCCAAGTGATGCTGATGCTGCTAGTCCAGGGACCCCACTTTGAGTGGGGGAACCACTGACCTAAAAATGACCTTCACAACTACTACGTCATGATTCTAAGTGATGAGTACTTCAGTAAGTTAGACTTAATAAGAATTCATTTGAATTTGTTTTTGTAAAGAGCCTGTAGAAGTATTCTTTTAATATTGCATGCATTCTAGGGCATGTATGCAATTTCTCCACCTAGACACTAAATAAAGGTTCTTCAGGACACTGCTCTAATGAGAATGCCAGTAAATGCAAATGCCTTCTATTTCATTTTAATGATGTGAAAATTAATTCACAAATTTGTTCCAAGCACAATGATTAGTTCCTCTGTCATTCGCTGCTTATCAAACAGTCCACTAATTAAATAGATCCACACAAAATGTTTTAAAATGTGAGCAAAGTAAGGTCAAAAGAAATGATTCTCACAGCCTTTAAGACTGGAAACCTAGAAGTGCCTCACTGCACTCTCAACGCCTGTTATTGAAGGGAAGTAAAAAAGCCACGTTTGCACTACGTCTGTATTAGATCAGCCACTGTTCAGTAGAAACAAATCACCTGACTTTTTCTGAGGTGATCTTACATTCTCAACTTGCTTCCCTTTGGCTTGTCATAAACAAATAACTGAAAAGTCTCTAGGGAAGGGAGAGACCAGTTCCTCATTTCAACTGGCATCAGGTTTGAGGCGGGTCCATTGTTACAGGTGTGGAATTTATTCTTCCAAGCCCTCAGCTGGCAGGTGGCTCCATGGTTCTGCTGACTGCGGTGTCAGAACCCACCTGGACAATGTCACCTTCAGAGGCAGACCACCCACAGGTATTAGAGGCAACCTTTAGCTGCTACTGGGGGTTTCCCTCTTGCATTTTCCGTTTGCTCAGCTCCTGCTGCTACCAACTTCTCTTGGTCCTGTCTTGCTGGCTTCTCCAGGTCTAAAAGAATGGGTGACTTGTTAATCTGTATGGTTTCATTTCCAGGGCACTGAGACTGAGGCTGAGGCTGCTTCCCAACCATGTGGGTGGTGTTTGCCAGGTTCTTGAAGCTTGGAAGGTCAAAGGCTGGTGAATTTTCTTTATAATGATCATCTATTGATTTAGCCTTTTAGAGGATGGAAAGGAGAATTCTCGAGTTAGCCTGAATTCTTCTGGCAATGACTCCTAATCATACTCATAGAGGTCATCATTAAGAGAGGGTTTCCCAGGACCCTCCGCCATTATCTCTTTTAACCTTTGCACCAGGCCTGTGAGCAAGGTACTTGGATGCCTCCTCACAATGCGACCTGGAGGTGAACAGAGGGGAACGGCTTGTCCTAGGTCACAGCCTAGCTGGCAGCAAGGTGAGGAGGGGAGAGCAAGCAGGATGTCCAGAGCTTCCCAGAGCCCTGCTGTATTTAAAGTTTCTCTGATTCTGTGGTGAGTATGTCAGCTGTTACTACTGCCTTGGTTCCAATATTTGAGACACTGACCAATAAATAATATCTATTGACCTTAAGTTCTATTGGACATAACCTCCTACTGGCTCCCACAGCCTTGAGTCAGGATGACTTGAAAGGAAACCCAAAGCAGTGTCCTAACCCTTCAGTAGAGAATAAAAGCACAAGGACAGAGGTGACACCCAAGGACTAAGACTTTGATGGAGCTAGTCTGCAGGTGCCTATGTAAACAGACATGGAATTCCCATAAGCGGGTGGCTGCCTAGGACTTGGATGATGCTATAAAGAAGCTGTAAAAATCCCCTGGGTGTGTATGTGTGTGAAAGGGCCTGTAACTCAGCTCGGCCACCTGTTTGTTGAGAGAATGGGAAACTGACCCCTCCAGTTAGGACCTTAAAAAGACACTGAATGTATCTGTTTTCATCAGGGGTCAGGATGGGCTTTTTCATTCTTCTCCAGCAAAGCTGGTGTCAGCCCTGAAAGCAGCAGTCAGAAACTAGCAATCTAAAAACAAAACCAGTTCATTGAACTGTAAGTTTCCTAACTGGTACCCCAAATAGGGTGCCTTGTGCATTTTTATTCTGCATGTAAAGTTCTGTATACTTGAGTCTCTAGCACAAAATCTTAAAGCAAAACCAGCATTAAGGATTACAGATTTCTTTTGCAAATAAGAGCTGAATTACTTTAGTTGGTATCTAAGTGGTTTCTCAAACAACTCTCAATTTAAAATTCAGTGACTGTTAGTTTCATTTGGCCTTTAATCAGATGAGAACTAGGGAGTAAATGTAAGAGAACGGAAAGTCCCCAAGATAAATGTCACAGCATTGTCATGACAATGTCATAACATTGGGCTCCTCCTCTTTGCTGATAAGAGTAAATTCAAGAGCCTACTAATTTTCTCAACATAGAGCTTTTGATCTTGTACGCTTGAAGCACATTAGAAGAAAAAAATTGAAGGGGAGAGCAGCTGCCATAGTCCAGCACCCAAACTATAATGAGAAGCAGGAAACAAAAATTAGGGAGTATATCAGTGTGAGGCCATTCAGTGTGGGGTAAGTAATCATATGCTATAAAAACAGTAACAAGCATTTCATTCCTCATGGAACTACATTAAATGTAGATTATACTAATTGTATTTCAGGGAGTACTATGAGTGATAAGCAACTTCAGAAGGCCAGGTCATTAAGAAAGGGCGTACTGGTGTTCAGTGTTCTCTGCTACCAAGCTGAGGAGGTTAATAATACATCGTAGAAAAAGTTCTATGCAAAAGTGTTGTTAGTGCAATTAAAATTGTATAGCACTAAAAAAGTAAATTATTAGCTATCCTTAAAATTTGGCTATCCAAATGCCCTCATTCTTAAAGGGCTCCAGCTTGCTGAGTTTTGCTGTTGAGTTATATAGACTTGCTAAAATTACCATATCTTGCAGTGTTTAATGTGCATCCACGTTTTTGGCCCAAACTTTCAAGGGAAAAAAAAATTTCAACATATTTTTTTAATTCAATTATTTATTTATTTATATTTAGAAACAAAACCACTTATCATATTCTAGGGTATTATTTTTGCATACAGATATTTCTATTGCTTTCTAGAGTTATACTTTTAATTCATAAGCATAAATAAAAGAATTAAAACACTTTATATAGATATGGAATTACTACTACCCATATATGATGTGCATACTTATTTCTCCCTGAAAAATTTGGGCAAAACAGTGTGCATTATACACAGCAAAATATGGTATGTTATTGGAGATTTCAGAACGTGTGGTCAATACTAATGCTCCATCCATAAATGAGCCATGCACAGTCTGAAACTACCTTGCCATTGTCCGTGACAAGGGAAGATATCTTCCCACACATAACTACTATCTTCATATGGAAAACTACAACATAATGGAACAACAATAAGTCATTCCCATGTTAACATGAATCAGATTGTAGAGTGGTAGAGGCAGCTTTGCTTGAGCAAGGGAAGAGCTTAATCAACCGGGAGGTAAGTTTGCATTAGTGAATCCTAGAAAATGCCCCTAATCATGGTAGGGCAGCTGGGTGACATCTGAAGTTTTCTGTTCAGACTCACAAGTTGATCTTCCAAAACTTGGGGATAGATATCTAGAATATCTTTTGCCAAATATTTTACATTAATATTTTTGCAACCATGTCCATTCTGTTATTTAAAGTTTGAGGGAAGGAGTCTTATTTCCCTTGGTCTTACATCCTTACATCCCTGAAATACACCAAAGTATGTATACATACATATATATGTAAATAAAGTAATTAACATTTAATGTATATTTAATTCTATTAAAGAGGGTAATCAAAAGATGATGAGCTATCTGGCTTCTAAGAAAACTCTTAGGTCACTAAAATTTTCAAAGCTTTTTTGTTTAAACTTGGAAGAGATATCAGGTAAACAACAAACAAATTTCCACATACAGGCTACTCAGATGAGAAGACTGGACTCACTTAAGTTAGTTATCTTCCAAACATAAAGGATGCTGTTAACTGAGCTATTCCTATCTCCTATGCTGAATTAGAAGTTTCATGTAAAATTTCAGACCCATTTTTCTCACCTCTGTGTCCCTCATTCCTGACAGATTCCACACTCTGATCTTTATCACTAAAGATGCAACAACCTGCTTGTAATTATCCTCTGGAAAAGGATGAGGACATCCTAGAGAAAGGATGGCATTTGGCTGTGGAAACTGAACTACCCCAGTGTGGTCCAGAGAATAGCAACTCTGACAGTGTCCCCTGGAAGCTTCCAGCCACACAGCCTCTTCGCTGCATGGGGAAGACAGAGTCACCCTGCCCAGAGGAACAGCCCCAAAGCCTCAGGGCCTCTCCGCTGCACCCCCTGAGGAGCCAGCCCAAGAAGCAGAGTGAGAACCAGGGGAGTCTTCTCCACTTTGACCGGCAAGCCCCAGGGAGAATTTCCACCTCTCCCACTTTGAGGAGGTTAAGGGGCAGTGGTGGTGGGACAAAGTACTCCCTGACTCAGCAAGAGGCCTCGGAAGGGCCCACCTGGGGAGGCTGGAAGGAGCCTGCAGGCTCCCCATGTTACCTTTCCAAGAGTCTACCTGGAAGCCCCAAAATTTCTTCGTATTCCTTATTGCCCAGACTCCACTCAAGATTGCCTCTGGATCCCACAAGTGTCCTCGATGCCGCTGACTCATTTGAGCCCCAAGCAGGGCCCACAGATGAGGCTGCCCTTCCAGGGTCTCTGCCTGTCCAAGAGGGGTATCTTTCCCAGGCTTCTCTTTCGGGGAGAGGAAGCCACTCACCGCCCAGCCCTGCTGCACTGCTCCCCAGGCCTCAGGTAACAGCTCTAAGCCTCCTACCTCTCATTCAGTGGGCCACCAAGCAAAATAGGCCTTGGAGTTTCCACATTACCCCAAAGGCCAGGGGGTTTTGTGACGGGGGACAGCGCAAGAATCATAACTGAGGGAACACACACTCTTTTGGATGTACTGACTCCCAAGTAAAAGGGGAGCAGCAGCTTGGGGAAGAAGGAGAATGGAGGTCTAGCTCACCTTCGTCATCGACATCCCTGAATGCACTTTAAGAAAGGGCCACCGAGGTCAGGCTAGAAGAGATGGCCTGTCAGGCATTGAGTAGTAAAGGTGGCCCCCCTGCAGCTACATGCAATTTGAAGATGACATTGTACAGCCAGTTTAAACAGAAAGAAAGAGCAAATTATTCAAATTTCAAGTCTTCTCCCCCTCCCTCCAAAAGAAGAGAAACCAAAAACATTTTAGCTAGTTTAGTTAGTTGTTTCTTCCTTAAAGATGTCTGCTTTGGAATTCTGGATGGACATAAGCAAAACTAAAATATATATTTTTAAAATTTATTTCAGGGAGAAGAATTACATCAGTCCAGGTGTGTATGGATTTGTCCTTCTCTGATGTTGTGAAATCTGCAGACTGTTTAATTTCACATCTGTTTTTCTGTTCTGACAAAGGGAACCTGATGCTTTTCAATCCAGGCACTTTGTTTACAGCTCCCAGGGCACTCTTCACACTTTTACATAAGTAAGAGTCTTAGTTCCAAGAATCTCCTTTGAAAGCACAGCGTTTTACTGTGGTTTTGGGGGGCAGGGCATGACAGCCATATGCAGTCATGGTTTTCACTTTGAATTGTCAATGAATTGGCCCTGTGGCTTCGCCAACATCCATTTAATAACAGGTTTTGTCAGGTAGAGAAAATGGGAAGGACAGAAACATTAAACAGCTTTTCAAAGAGAAATTTAGCAGACAGACAAAAAGCAACAAGATGTGCTATTTAAATCTAGGACAATCTTTAAAATGCCAGGTATGACAGACTCTGCCTTTATCCAGAACACAGGTGGATTGCATCACCTTGGAAACCCACCATGAACTTGCAGCCTGGTCCTCAGGTTGTGACAGTGGAATTGCCTTCCCTCCCAGGGTGGAAGAGCTTCCCTGACTGCAAGGAAATGATCCATGCTCAGTTCCCCTCCCCCTGCCCCCAATCTGTGGGATTGGCAGGAAAGCCCTCATTTCACTTGGAAAGTCATGGAGGAATACTCAAGGAATTAGCCATTGTTTTATTACTGGCCCTCAATCCCCAGGCAAGAATTTGTGTCTAAAATAGGAAAGATGGGTCCATCTCCACAGTCAGTGTTGATTTTAACCCCAGTGGACTGAAATATGTGAACAAAGATAGAGGATATTCACAAAGCCACAGGAAAATGTACACTTTTGTGTTAGTGTACCAGTTAGCTATTGCTGCCTAACAAACTATCTCAAATCTCAGTGGCTTAAAACAACAACCACTTATTATTTCTTATAAATCCATGTGTCTTCTGAGAGTCAGGTGATATAGGCTGTACTCATCTGGGTAGTTCCACTCCACATGGCCCTCATCCCTTTCATGGGACCAAAGGTCTCCCCTAGGCATGTTTCTTTTTCTTATGGTGAAGGGAGAGGTTCAAGAGGGCAGACAGAAATGTTCAAGGCCTCTTGGAGCCTGGGCTAATTCTGCCTAATTCTATCGGCCAAAGCAAGTCACATGGCTGAACTCAAGGGCAGGAAATTATGTGTCAACAACAGTGGGGGAGCATTGAAATGCTACATGGCAAATAGTATGGGTACAGGGGTCAATGAAGAATGGGGCCATCCATGCAAATCTTCCACAGATGCGAACAAAAATAAACCTCTAAAATGACACCTACTTCAGATGTGTTAGAGAAAAAGAAAGTAGTCTGAGAGAAAGTTGATGATGTGTTGATCAGAGTTGATCATGCAGAATATTTAGGGATGTGTTCCTTACCCAAAAAGCTGTGTGAAACCGTGGAATGGATTGATGTGATCAGATGGATATAGGGTACGCATGAGATTTAGATGAGAGTGGACAACAACAGAACCATTAGAATATTCAGGTATGAGAAGCTGGTAGGTTAGGCTCTGATGAAGGCAGTGGAGTTAGGAAGAAGTCACACTGAGCTATTTAAGAGCTACAATCATCTAGGCTTTGTGAATTAGGCCCATAAGGTATAGGTCTTGACTTCAAGTTTGGACATGCTGAGTTAGAAGACCTATGGAACATGTGAGCAGAGATTTTGAATAGATACTTGATTAGAGAAGGCATCAGGAGGGAGAGAGAGAGAGAGGGAAAGAGAGAGATAGATACTTATCTGCAAGTCTTTAATCAAAGAATACTTCCCAGAGCAGGTGAAGTCTGTGTCTAGCTTCAATTATAAGTTGGAGTTAGCAGACATAAAGCCTAAGTGATAGGACCCATTAAGCCATTTGCAAAAGATGACATGAAGATAGTTTTTACTGATGTGCAGAATCTTTGTGAGTCAATAACAGAAATAGTCTTTGTAAATTCAAAGGAACAGCTTGGGCAAAGGGCTTGAGGCCTTAAAAATCTCTGTAGTTTCATATGTCATAACCATCTACTATAAAGTGGAAGGGTTACAGAAAATCACAACAAGAAATTAGAAGGAAGGTAATTTGGACATCTTGGTATCTAGCGATGACCCTGAATTCCTAAATATTGTTTCTCTAGGATTTAGTATAATACTTGGCAGTTAGAAGGCAAAATTTGTTGAATGAATAAATAGAAGACTAGCTATAATGTATGAATTAATAATATGTTAAATATTCATCTATTATTACTAATGAAGAAGAAATTTTTTCATCAGCCATAGACCACTTAATTTATACTTTTTTTAATCCAAAAGTTGGCCTTCAGCATGAATCTTTGGTAAAAAGCTAACCATCTATAGCACAAAGATCCTCTGTCTGTCTTTTGCTCCCTCCCTCTCGTCTGTGTCAGGTCTCTGCAGTCATTCCCACAGTTGCCTTTTGTTCCAAGGGCTCCTCCCTTCAGATAGCTCACCCGGCTTAGTCAGGCCTGTCAGGAACAGAGCGCCTCCTGAGGCCCTGCTGTCTGCCCAGGAGCCCCCTGGCCTCACCTCAGAAAACCTTATTTAAACTTACTTAACTTAGGACTTGAACATGTCTATTAAATGGTATAAACCAGGGGCTAGCAAATGATGACTTACGGCCCAAATTCAGCCACTATCTCTTTTTACAGGTAAAGTTTCATTGAAATACAGCCACACCCATTCACTTAAATACTGTCTATGGCTGTTTTTATGGTCACTGAAAGAGACTGTATGGCCCAGAAAGCCTACAACATTTACTATCTTGTCCTATATAGAAAGTTTACTGACCTCCAATATTTTAAGAAATGCTTGCTTCTGTGGCTGTCAGTCAATCACAATAAACTTTTTGCTTTGTAGAATTTCAGATATAAAACTCTTTCAGAAATACTGATTTTTTTCTTTTGCTATAGTGTTTTAACACATAGCCTGACAATTGGGTAGACTCACATAAATGAGAAGGACCCAATCTACTCTTGGTTCTGAAATCAGCTCGGTATTATGATTTTGATTACAGTTTTTTCTTTGTGAACTTTCTTCTCTGTCATTCCCCCTCTTTCTCCATAATATTTCAGTGAACTCAGATTCTTTTTGAACCTTCTTCTCCCATCACCAGAGTATACCTGCTGGAAAGGAATCTTTACAATTCATTCTCACTAAAATGTGAAGGACTTGAAGCTTAAAAAATATTTATACTTACCTGTCCAAGGAGAGCAGTATATTCCTTCCTTTTGGGTTTCCCTACACCTTATAGCATTAAAACACTGTATTGTATTTCTTTTATATTCATCTGCTTCAAGACCATCCTAAAGCCAGGGGCCACTTATTTATCCTTAAACCTCTAGCACTCAGTATTCAGCTGAAAATCTATCTCCACAAACACTCATTGAGGGAAGGGGTAGAAGTAAAAGAAAAGACAGGCCCGCTGGGAAACTTCTTTGTTTAGAGTATTACTTGTCTCTCTCCCAGATGTATTGCATTTTGAGAGAACAAGACTGGAAACCAAACAATGAAGCTGTGTTGGTGGGATTTTAAACATCACGAAGCAAATGGGGGAGGTTCGGGGTTAGGAAGACTTTGCTGGCACCCCTTAAAATCTCCGTTCACAGAAGGCTGTCTGTCACACCTAATAATTTTCTGGTCAGTCCTGAAACTGAGAAGGGAAACCTACATACTACATCTATGAGAACAAAGACGACCCTTCCAGTGTTCAAGATGAAATTTTTAAAAAATGCTAAATATATCCAAATTAGCAACTGAGGCAACAGCATGAAAACTAAATGACAAGGTATTTGAAAGTCTATTGCCAGGAAGAAACCAGACAAAAACATTGAATGACAGTAAAACACCCCTAGGGCCAGCTGGAGTTACTCTTAGTGCTATTAAGAGCTATTGAAATCAAACTCTGAGTTTGAATCCTAGCTCTACTTTTCTCTGGCAATGTGACCTCAGGCAAGTTCTCTAACAATCTGAAACCTCCAAGTCATCATCCATGAAGTGGTGATACAAACAGTACTCATCTAATACAGCTTTTGATATGATTAAATGTCATCATAAAATATGAGGTGGTGTTATCTTTTAAGAAACCATTCACTTATTTATCCATTTGTTTACTCATAAACACTTCTTCTACTCAAGTATTGATTCATTCTTTCTAAAATATTCTGACTGCACATTGTTTACAGGAAACTAACTCAATGTGCCTGAAAATTAGATTCAATACAGTGTTCTATCTTCTGCAGACATTTATTTAAAAACTGTTATATACCTAGCACTGTCTGTAAACTCTGGGAAATATCAGAGAGAGAGAAGACTCTGCCCCGGCTCTCATGGAACTTAAGGGCCCGTAAGAAGGGTGTTGATAACTAGAGACTAATAGATGGCATGCCATTGTTTTGTTTGTTTGGTGATTTGTCCATTTAATTTCTGCACTCTGTAAAACCATGTTTTACTGTATTATTTTCTCCCTCCCACACACACTTTTATTGAGATATAATTGACATAGAACATTATGTGAGTTCAAGGTACACAACATAATGATTTGATAGGTATATAAAACAAAATGGTCACTACAATAAGTTTAGTTAATATAATTACCTCACATAGTTACACCTTCCCCCCGCCCTTGTGATCACATAGATGGAAGATTGTTAATCAGGCTGCGGAAGGGAAGACTGCAACCTGAGGGAGTCAGGGAACCTTCCTGACCTGGGCACGGCTGGAGAGTGGGGTGTAGCCCGGCAGTGTCCTTCCCTGTCAGGAGCAGAGTTATTCTGCCATGGGCATCGGCTCCTCTAGGTGCAAGCTCCAGAAAATTAGGGGTTGTGTCTGCTTTGCTTATCATTGTAACTCTAGGGCCTAGAATACTGCCTGGCACTGAATACATATTCAGTAAATGTTTAGGGAAGAAAAATAGGAAGTCAATTAGTTTGTTAGATTAGGATAAGCCTGGTATGTTCCATTTTTG